AAAATAAAAATAAAAATAAAAAATTGAAAAAGAAACAAAAAAAAAACACAAAAATATTTTAGTTTGGTTTCGTTTTCTTCCCTAGTTTAAGCATTGAGGACAATGCTTCGTTCAAGCTTGGGGGGAGCGTTACTTCGGTTTTGGTATATATTGTGTTAGTGTTGAATAAGCTTGGGGGAGATGGCATTATTGGTATTTTTGTTTGATATTTTGTGACTTCTTGAGTTTGTTTTTGAGAGTAGGCCACTCTTTTGCTTCACTTAGGATCTTTTGCTTCACTTAGGAAATATCACCAAAATTTTCAAATATTATTGGTATTTTTGTTTGATATTTTGTGACTTCTTGAGTTTGTTTTTGAGAGTTGGCCACTCTTTTGCTTCACTTAGGATCTTTTGCTTCACTTAGGAAATATCACCAAAATTTTCAAATTTTTACCCCGCCTTAACCCTTAGCCTTACGTTACAACCCAATAAAAGACCCTTAGACTTCAATGGGGTTAGGACAAAGAACGGTGGAGGGAGATAGACTTCAAACATATGGAGAGAGTATGCATAGTTGAGATGTAGGAATTACCTTCTCAAGGTTTTTCATTTCTTAATCTTTTTCTGGTTCCTTCGTGGAATCATGAGAAGCTAGCTTAAGGGTTGATTTGAACCTAGTGGAGAGAACATGGCCTGATTGGTTGGGGCTAGGGTGGATTGTGTCCCCATTCGTTCTCTATGCTTAGCATATGTTATGTTTAAATCAATCATTGACATCTTGGAACGTGCATACATTTGTCTATTTAGAAAGGTTTACCTTCATTGGTGCTTGTTCCTATCTCTTTTCCAAATATGAATTTTTTGTTTTCTTTCTCTTTTTATATTTCTTTTTCTTTTCTTTTTATTGCCTTGCCTTGGTTTTTGTTTAGAGTTGTGGGTTAAACTCTTAGGACACCCTCACGAGAGCACACTCGTCCTCTAGGGCGATCTAGGGGTTTAAAGGGCTTGTCTTTAGTTGCTAAAATTGACCGTGATTCCTATGAAAGTGAGTTAGTGTACATTCTTGTCTCCTTTAGTGTCTTAGATTTGCTTGAATAAATCATTCTCCTTCTCTCGTGTTTCATGTTAATTTGCTCGACGACGAGCAAAAGTTTAGCTTGGGGGAGTTTTATAAGTGCCTTTTATGTCACTTTTAGGGTATTTTTATGCTTATTTTCCGGTTTAGTTTCTAATATTTTCCCTAGTTTTATACTTTATTTCGCTTATTTTCTTATTTTTCTTATTCGTTCTCTATTTTGAGTATTTTTGCATTTTTATTAGTTCTTAGTTTATTTTTGTAGTTTTAGTTAATAATTTCCCTCTTCTCTCGTTTTATTTATTTTCTTTTCTTTTAGTTTCCAGCTTGTTTTTTTTTATTTCATTTAATTTTATTATTTCTTTAGTTTTAGCATTTTATTTTACTTTATTTATCTTATTTAATTTTACTTTATTTATCTTATTTTATTTTATTTTATCTTTTGATAATCCCCTTGTGTTGTTTTTAGTTGTAGGTGTTTTCGGGTCCTTGGTCGATCGAGTTTAAGGTCCGAGAATTGAGTCAAACAACATGCTCCAAGCTGTCCTAGCTGCAATCAACCACCACGCTACCACCTCCTATCATCCTCCACCACACCATTTCCCCTGCTCCCTCACGCACCAATCAACCACCTGACCACCATTGTTGCTCCCTTTCACCACACAAGCCAGCAGCCGCACCACCACCATCACCCACCAATTTCACCCACCTAACAACTCCCCTGCTCCAGCAATAACAGCAGCCACCACTCACCTCCAATACACCAAGTAGCAGCAGCACCTGCCCTCACGCACCAATCAACCACCTAACCACCATCGCCACCATTGCTGCCTCCAATCAACCACCACGCAGCCACCCAAACCACCTGAACAACCAATCACCCCCGTAACAGCCTTCACCACACCACCAAACAATCCGCAACCAATTCCCCTGATCCATCTCCACCACAATCAACCACGCACATCAACAACAACCCAACCACATCGTCCACCTGCAACAATCAGTCATGAAACCACCAATTCGCATAAGCAACGGCAAAAATCAGAGCAATCGCAAATTAATCAGGTTCGGGCAAACCGCATAGGAGTTCGGTCGAAGTGCCAAAACAGTCAGAAACTTTTGAAGTTATCTAAATTGGATAGGTGTGGTCGAACATACCCATGGTGCCGAACCAACCCCGTAGTTCGGTCGAACCTACCCGAGGTTTGATCGAACCATTTCACGAGCATCACACGTGATTTTAATGAAGATCAACCGGTCTAATAAAGATGATGACGATGCAATTGGTGATGATAGCCATTGATTTGGAGCATTGATTATGATCGGATGGTGGTGATTTAATGATAATGGTTGATGATGGTGGTATGATGATCACAAATCAGAGCAACCATAGAGATCGAAGAAAAGGAATGGAGTCTGATTTTTTTGTGGGGGATTTAGGTTTTTATTATTTTATTTTCTTTTTATTTTTATTTCTTTCTTTTCTTTTCCCTTTTTCTTTTTTCTTTCTTATATTTTTATTTTAGTTTTCTTATTTTATCTTTCCTTTTTTACTTTCTTTTCTTTTCTTTTACTTACTTAGTATTCTTAGCTTGGTATATATACCCATTTTTGGGGTAATTAGGGGATTATTCAATTACCAATGATTCAACTCTCTAATTAGTTTTAGGAGAGCTTCTCTCTCTAGGGTTAGATTAGGATTTTCTCTCTCTTGTTTAGGAGTAGTTGTAGAGAGAGAAAGTTTGGATTTTCATGGAGTTTTTGAGAGGTTGAAGAAGCAACTTTGTGGAACTTCTTCTCATCTATTCAATGAGCATTTTCTAACTTTCTCTCATCTTTATTTCTTTGCTTAGTTCTTAGTTTTTTCTTTTTGTTTGTTGATTTTAGTAGATTAATTAGTTTGTTTGTTTAATCTTGTTTTTATTCTTATTTTACCTTGTTTTCCATGTCTTTCTTCATTATGCTAGCTTAGGTCTTGTTCTAGGGAATTGGATGAAGGTTATATTAATGAATTGAATGATTGATTGTGATTAGTATGAAATTGTTTCTTGATTATTGTGTATGGGTGATGCTTTTATGGATTAAAATCTTTCTAGCTAATCGATTCTATGCTCTTAATTGTGCTTTCAATCAATTGTCCAAGAGTGAGTTGGTTGAGAGCCCTAAATTCTTCCATACCTTTGCTAGGCTAGTTGCACGAGAGTGAATTAGTTTAGTAAGATAATTAACATGCTTAATTGTGCGAGAGTGAGTTAAACGTGTTGATGTTCCTAATCGAGGTCATTTTCATCTATTTGTATGATGTTGTTTAATGGATTGATGTGATTGGACTCCACTTTCCCTAGTTTTAGTTATTTGCTCTTAGTAGTGCTTGGTTTAATCTCTCTCTATCTCACAACCTTTCCTACTAGTCTAATTTGCACAAATTGATATACTTAGTCTTCGTGGTTCGACCCTTTACTTGCCACTAACTAGTTTAGTGTAAGTTTAGGTATTATAAATTTCTAATTTGGTTATGGTTAGTAGACCAATGACCTACTCTTACCCGCGATCAGTATCTAAAGTCATTCAGTGGGTATCAGTTAGCCTATGCAAGTACATATATTGAATATTAATTCTTTGAATGTCCACAATTTTAATTCAATTAGGAGGGAGAATAATTTAATTATGTGTGAATTATTATTTTAAATGTGATTTAACATATAAAATTATTAAAAGTTGTTTAGTTTTCTCAAGAATTAGCCATAAATGTCCGAATTTTTGCCCTAATATGTTCAAAAAATCTGAACCCCCCAAACCCTAATTCAAAAATTTCGAGACCTAAAGAGTGGGGATGCAAAGTTAAGACGTCGAGTAGCCTAAAATGTGTTCTTTTCCGGCTCCTTTGAGGAGTTATTGAGATGGTCACTAGAGGGAGATTTGAGACTATAGGGGGAATGCGGTAAGATCGAATGGGACGAAGGTGGATTGTGATAACTAGTTCTCTACGCTTAGCATATTCTATGTTTCAATCAATCTCGGATATCTTGGAACATGCATGCTCCTATTTGCTTAAGAAAGTTGTTTATTCATTTAAAGGGTTGTCATTTTATAAAGTTCAATTCATAAAGGTTTTGATTTTACTTTTCTTTTGATTTCTTTTACTTTTGCGATTTGCCTCATGTTGTTTGTTGAAGAGTTATGGGTTAATCTCTTAGAAAACCCTTACGAGAGCATCAATCGTCCTCTAAAGCGATTTAGAGGTTCAAATGCACTAGTGGAAAATATGTCATTTGTAACGGGTTATTCGTAATGAGCAAAGCTTTGCTCGTTACATTAAATATATTTTTAACGGACAAAATATTGCCCGTTACAAATAAATAAGTATTTGTACGATCACCATGTGTCCGTTACGAATACTATATTATTTGTAGCGGGCAAAAATATTGCCCGTTACGAATACTACATTAGTTGTAACAGTCACCATGTGCTCGTTACGAATACGTGGCCCAATTGATGAGAGCCAAAGAGGAGCCCATTACTTTTTACTCCATATTAGGGGAGGAAGTAGTGAGGGAGGTTAGTTATGCATTTGCATAACAAATACTAAAATATTAAAAAGCACATAGGGGTGAGAGAAAGGAGGAGAGAGATGGGTAAGTGGGACCATTTTTTAAATGTACCACTGAAAGCATAGATAGTATCATTGATTATGTAGTGATATTATTTCTACCGTAGTGATACTATTTATACACGTAGTGAGTACCACTGAATGAATATATAGTACCACTACATACATAAATAGTAACACTGAAATGTTCAATAATACCATTTAATCCTCTAGTGATACAATTGATCACCCAGTGTAACTACTCTAAATTCATAAATGCATTTACGTGAAATGACCCCCATGCCCCTCGTTATGCATTTACTCATACATAACTAACCTCCCTTTAAAAGGCCTCATATTAGGGTTTCACACTTCACTATCCTTAGCCGTCAAACCTCCCATTTTTTCTCTCTCCTCTTAATTATCTCACTCAATCTCAGCTCGCTCTCTTCTCCGATTCACCTCAATCCATTCACTCAATCTCCTCCATTTCACCACCCTAATTCCCAAAGTTCCCCTCTTTCTCTTTTCTCTAAATTGCATCAATGGCGGAGGACCCAATTTAGAATGTCTTTTGAACGAATCTCGTTACTTAGAAGTGAATATGGGGGTGATGATTCAGGGTCAAGAACATTGCAGTTATGGGTGTTTATATCTCTTCGATTTTTTCAAGCAAATTAGATTGGAGAAACCCGCTTCTTCTTTAAGAGAAAGTGAACAAAACCCTAGTTTTTTGCCCTAATTTCACCGCCTCAATATCCCTTTTTTCTGCTCATTCAAACCCTAAGCTTTTGAAGCAGAATCGCCACTCTCTTGTGTACGATTTTGATGATAGATGCGGTTCCTCAACGAAGTTTTCTTTGTAATTTGCCCTTTTTTTAGATTTTTGATTTGATAATTTTTGATTTATTTATTTTTTTTTTTTTTTTTTTTTTGTGTTTGCGGTTTCATTATGATTTTTGTTTATTTTGGAGTTGATTAGGTGAGAAGGGAAGAATGTTTAGGTGTCTGAGAATCGCCGGTGATTGCTGGTCAGAATAAGGGGCTTCTAATTATTTGGATGATAGTGGTAGGGATGATGATTCCGATGTCGAAAATGACTCTACAATTACAAAGGCGGAATCGAAGAAAATTGACGATGATTCGGAAGCCGTAACTTCTGGTAATGAATTTGTTAATTGTCCAGATTGTAGCATTCAGATTCGCGGCGATGATAGCTCCGTTAATTCACATCTTTGTTAGTCTAATTTGAGTTTCAATTTTTACTTAATTATCTCATTTTTTTTGTTGAACATTGAAGTTTTTGATTTGTAATTTGGCTAAAAGTTTGGTTTATTTGATTATGTTATTGATTAGAAAATGTTGTTTATAGGATTTTGTTGCAACTAATTGGTGTTGTCAGATTTGAATTTGATGGAATATAGTAACAAACTTATTACGATCTCAAGGGCTCCTACAAGTTAGGATCAAGAAACATGTTTAAATTCACGACACACATATCATCGAATTTTAGTTCTCATCAGTTGTTGGTTAGTAAAGGTATAAAAAAATAATAGTTGGATTAGCAAAAACCTAATTTTAATGTAATCAAAGAAAGATCAGCATCCTTGAATTTAGAAAAACGGGTATTTGTAGAATGGATCTAGGATGGGAATCGAAAAATTGAGTTAGTGAGAATGTGAGATATGTGAGCCATGTGATTAAAAGCTTGTAATTTTATCCTCACTTGGGTCTTTCTTGTCCTCCATCTCATTGCTAGGAAATTTAAGCTGCTAAGTATAGCATGGATAATTTGAGTTAGTTAATGACTAATCAATTATGGTTCCAATTTTTGAACTATAGCTGGAATTAATTGTGGTACTAATCGTCAAAAGGTTAAATGAATTTTATGAGTCAATTAAGTTTGTGAATTCCAGCATTTGGCAATTGCTTTTCATTGTGTTAGTATGAGCAATTTAACTGTATGATGTACTTCCACCTTCTGTTTCTTAATGCTTCTTTTATGCTTGCTTGTCTATGCAAAATTTTCTATTATATTATCTGTATTCCAAAATAAAAAAGCTGAAAGTGAAATTTGAATCTCCAGTTATAGGAATTTTTTTTTAAATAAATATTTTTATTACAGTTTAAGATTACTAGCGACGTTAAAAAAAAGTTTAGAAAATAGAGTTGCTTCTTATACATAGTGCATTACATATTTCAGATTTCTACATGGAAAAAGGAACAACATTAAAGATACCAGAGGTGTTTAAGCAGTACAAAGATGTACGTGAGTTAAATTATTTAGTGACCACCAGGAAGCTTATCCTTGATCTTTTCCATAATTCCTTTATTCTCTCCGTTAATTCACATCTTGGTTAGTCTAATTTGAGTTTCAATTTTTACTTAATTATCTCATTTTTTTTGTTGAACATTGAAGTTTATGATTTATAATTTGGCTTAAAGTTTGGTTTATTTGATTATGTTATTGATAAGAAAATGTTGTTTATAGGATTTTGTTGCAACTAATTGGTGTTGTCAGATTTGAATTTGATGGAATATAGTTACAAACTTATTACAATTGAGTTGTTGTTGAGTTGGTTGATATGTTTTCTAGTTTTAGTTGGCATTGGAAAAGATGCAACTTTTGTTGAGGTTGCCGAATTCATCTTGACATTTGATTAGTGTAAGGTCTTGGAGCGGCGGTTTCCTAAAAAGTTGAAATATTACAAGTGGAAACAAGCTTTTTCGCTTGTCTTATCCTTCGATTTTGAATGTTAGTAGTGAAGGCCAATGTATGGGCACGATAAAGAAGTCAAATGATGTATTGAGAACAGGTGAATGTAGCAGCTTTGTTATAACTGTAGTCATTTCTTCTATTCCCTTGTGTATAGCTCTGTTATTTTATATTTTGGTAATTGCTTGTAAGTTTTGTTTATTATATGATTTGTTATTGGATTGTGTTTGTGTGCTATGCGTATTAATATTTAATAGTTCTTTTTTTGCAGGCTCTTCTTGATTATGAGAGATACAAGACAAGTAGTGATGGCTCTAGCATTCTCAGTTCACTTGCTGTGCCTATCGGAGCTGAAAATCAGGTTTGTAAAATTGTAAAGCTAATCAAATGTGTTTGTTTCTAATACTTGTATTTGTCTTATCTAACATGTCACCACTGTAACATTTGGCCATAAGAATATGGGAAAACCCACTTGTATGTGATATCTAATATGTTTCTGAATGGTTGTCCTCAACACCTGGACCTACTTCTTCGTGGGTGGCTGTTTTTGTAACATATATATTTCATTCATAAATGATCCTTTGCAACTTTCTAGTAATATCTGATTTAAAATTTTTTATTGGCAATATAAGTTTATAAAGAACAACAATCTGCTGTTATTGCTGTTGCTGAAACAGTTTCGAATTATGAGCAAACGAGAGAGAAACGGATCGAATTTGAATCTAATCTTAAGTATAGCAATTAGCAAGTGCATGACTTGTTTTTAATTTCTTTAATTGATAAAATCATTTGAATGTTGTATAGCTTTTGCTAATTGAATTTGAACTGTATACTTGTATAAAATATTATTTAAAATTATTTATTTTTTGTAATTGATAAAATCATCAAGCTATCCACTATCCAGCATATGCTGGATTTTATAATAGTAATTCAAATTTGGCAGCAGACTAGCATGTATCACTTGCTGCATTTTTTAGAATTTGGTTTCAATTGTATTTGTAACGGGCGGTTTAAATGCTTGTTACAAATAACTTGTTATTCGTAACGACAATTAAACTGTCCGTTTCGTAACGGACAGTCAAACTGTCCGTTAAGAATAACGGGTTATTCGTAACGGGCAGTCAAAGTGCCCGTTACGAATATCATATCCTATCCGTAACGGCAACATACGTAACGCCCGTTGCTGGTTACGGATAGGCTGCTTTTGCCCGTTACGGATAGCTATTTTTCTACTAGTGAGGGATTGTCTTTAGTTGCCAAAATTGACCGTGATTCCTACGAAAGTGAGTCTTAGTGTATATTCTCTTTTTATGTCTTAGTTTTTCATTTTTGAATAAGTCTTTCATCCTTTTTCTCGCTTGCTTGGTTTTGCTCGAGGACGAGCAAAAATTTAGCTTGGGGGAATTAGATGAGTATCATTTATGTTACTCATTTATTCTCTTTTAGGGTGGTTTTAGATTGCTTTTATAGCTCTTTTCTTTCCTTTTTCCTTTGTTTTGCTCTTTATTTCTTTAGTTTGCACTTTACTTAGTTGATTTTCCATTTTTATGCATTTTTTGGTTTATTTTATCTTTTTCCCTTTTATTTGTTTGTTTCCATTCATTTTTCAGGTTAAGATCGTTGTCCAAGGATTCCCGAGTCTTGCATTAATTAGGATGCCTAGTGTTCTCCATTTGAAGCTCAAGTTTAGAGATGTGCAAGTTCCAATTGACCTTAGGCCGTGCATTGAAGCCGTGGGGGCACGAATTCTCGTGTTGAACCCACCGTCGAGGTGATTTTGGGTTTGCCATGCTCCGTGTTCATCAAGCACATAAAGTGGAGCGCACGAGGAGCATAAAAATGAGAGGGAAGGAGGCTGTCCTGTTCCCTTGCGCGGCCGTGTATCCTGCCCCCCTATTCCATACCCATTTGTGCACGGCCGCACATCTTCTTGAAGAAGGCAACACCTTTACGGGTCTATTTTGGACGATATAACTAACTTGTCTTTGTTAGTTTTACTATATATTGACTTCTCTTCTATTTTTAGAGGGAGAATTGATTTTTAGAGATTTTAAGAGAATTAGAATTAAAGTTTTAGAGAGAAACACTTGTTCTTAGATTTATAGAGAGAGAATTTGATGATTGATGGTTCTAAGCACAATTTCCTTTGATTTCACTAAAGTTTATAAGGAAATCTTTTACTTTAATGCAATCTTTAGTCTCTTGATTTCAATTGTTTGTTATTGTTTGTTGATTGTTCAAATTTATTGATTAGTTGATTGAATTTGGTTTGATTGAAATGATGATGATGAATGTGTTGATTAGCTTAGTTTTGATTTTGATTTCTTCCATTGATAGTAAGTAGTTTACTTACTAGGGGTGTGGTGAAGCATGTTTGAGTGATGGATCATAGCTAATTTGGAGTTTTTGATTGATTGAGCATTGTGATTAAATTGATTTATTGATTTTGTGCATGTGTGTGATTAGTTAAAGAGTAGCTAACGTTAATTGTCATGCTAGATTGCATTGTGTGCCTACATTGATACGGACAATTGATTTGTAGCTCACATTTAACGATTGAGTTTGGTTTGTGATGATCCTAGTAGAGTCTTTCGTAGTTGGCGCTTGTTAGACCCCTAGGAGATAGCTTGTTGAGCTCTTTTGATTGCATTTTCTATCTTCTGTCGCAATACTCGAATTGATCAATCTCCAACCCAATTAGCGTGTGTCCATTGGACGAATATGTGGACCCTAAATCCTTAGTGTTTGATATATCAATTTACCTTGTGTTTCCTTTGTTTGTGTAATTGAACTTAGACATCCTACATTCTCTTTTGAGATAGCTTAACTTTGGCAATAGTAAACTTCCCCCCGTTCCTTTGGGTTTGACCCTTAACTTGCCTCTATACTAGTATTTAGGTTTGTTAATTGTCTAAAAATTTAGTTTTGACCGTGGCAGGATTAGTTTCAACGACCTAGTCTGAACCCCCGTCATAAATGGCACCGTTGCCGGGGAAGGCATGGTGATTGCTATTGTTGTTTGAGTCTATTCCTTTTATTTGGAAAAAAATAAAAAGATTTCTCTTCCTTTTAGGCTACATTTGTAGCCCTGCTATTGATATTTGCTTTGAGTTTTGTATGCGTAGGGCAAGAGAACGAACTCTAGTTTCATTTGATTTGAAAATTTAGAGAGCCATAACAAGGATAAGGGTTGCTAATCGTTCTTCAAGTCTAAGCTGTCCAAGAGAGTGAATTCATCAAGAAAGAGAAGAAGAGGATTGAGGATGCATGGGAGCTAATTCAAGAGTAGCATTGAAGAAGTTGGGAACTCCCGGTGCTTATAGATTTGAGAGTGGCATTGCTTCACCAACAACACCCGCCAATGACTTTGAGATAAGGCCGACACTGATAACAATGATTGAAAGAAGGCAATTTAGTGGTGCCAAGTACGAAATCCCACTAAATCATCTCAAAGAGTTAGAGATGTATTGTAATACAATCAAGGTCAATGGGGTTTCTCAAGAATTCATAAGGTCAAGCTATTTCCGTTCTCTCTAATCGAAAGTGCTTTGGAGTGGTTAGACAAGGAGGTGAAGCCTAATTCTTTGACCACTTGGGATGAAGTTACAAAGGAATTCTTATCCCGCTTTTATCCCCAAAAGAAGATGGTCGAGGCGAGAGCCCTCATTCAAGGTTTAAAACAAAAGCCGGAAAAGAGTCTTTATGAATCAGGGGAAAGGTACAAGGATTACCAAAGAGAATGTCCTCACCATGGGATTCCAACATACCAAATCATTCAAATCTTTTGTGAAGGTTTGAGTCCTCAAGTCAAATCTTGTCTGGATGCCGATGCTGAAGGCCCTATCATGAACAAGACTGAGGAAGAGGTTGTAGATATAATTGAGGATGTAGTTCGTCACTACATGAATTGGCATGAGGGAGAGAGAGATTCGACAAGCAAGAGTGGCTCAACGGTCTATTCGGTTGATCATCTCAATGCAACCAATAACTTGTCTTCCCAAATTTTAAAACTTGGGGAAGGATATGACATTGATCAAGGCTAAGCTAGAGAGTGCCTCTTCGATTGCACCAAGTCCTCCCTCCCACATTAAGGGGAGAAGAACATCTTCTAACTCTACCCCTCCTTCTACTTCAAGTAATATGCCAAGTGGTTGTGTCTTTTGTGATGTTTGTGGGTCTTATGACCATGACTCCTCCAGTCGTCCACATGATTTTTAAAATTGTGATGACGTTGAAAACAATGATTGTGATCAAGTGAAATTTGTTTCCAAAAATAACAATGGACAAAGATTTGATGGTCCACGGAATTTTGGGACTAGGAATGCTCACCAACATGGTGGTTTTGATAACTACAACAATGTTGGTTATAGGAACCAAGGAAATCAAGGTTTTCGAGGTAACTATAACAACCAAGGTTATAGTAACAAAAACCAAGGCCAAGGGTATGAAAATCAAGACCAATCTCATGGCTTTGGTGGCCAACACCAAAATTTTGGCAACAATCAAGGCTAAATCATTGGAATAATAAAAATAGAGGCAATTTTCAAAACAACAACCAAAGGTGACCTCCACCCAGATTTGCTCCAAGACCTCAAGGCAATGGTGATAATTCCTATGCTCAACCCCCATATTTTAAGACTACCTTAGAGGAGATCATTGAAAATCAAACAAAGATTTTGAGCACTTACATGGCGGTAAGTGAAAAGAAGTTTAATGAAATGATGACACATAACAAGATGCTTGAGACCCAAATCACTCAACTAGACAATACCTTATAAGATTGTGCTAGCCCTTCTTAATCACCCTCTCAAGGAGTTGATCCTAAGAAACCCGTGTATTCCATCACCACAAGGAGTTGAAAATTGCTTGAAGATAGAGTTTATAGGATGAGAGAGGAGGGTGAGAAGAGGAGTGACTCAAGTGAGGAAAATGAGAACAAGGTGTCAAGGAATGTGAGAAATGAGGAAGTTCAAGAGAAAAAGATGAGTGATGAGTCTAGCAAGATGAGTGAGAGTTCTAATGAGAAGAGTGTTGAAAAAAAGAGGAAGCAAGATGAGGATTTCAAACCGAGACTTCCATGTCCCCAAAATTTCAATAGGTATAAGTTGGGTGAAAAATTTGGGAGATTTATCGAGATGCTTAAGAAGATCTATCTTTCTATTCCTTTCACCGATGTTTAGGGAGAAATGCCTAACTATTCTAAATTTCTTAAGGAAATCTTGAGCGGTAAGAAAGATTGCAATGTGGTTGAATCGGTGAATTTGGGGGAGTGTTATAGTGCCTTTATCCATAATGATTGCCCCTGATGATGAAGAATCCCGAAAATTTCTCCATTCCTTGTAATATTAATAGGAAATTGATTTAAAATGCCCTTTGTGATCTTGGTGCTAGTGTTAGCATCATGCCTTACTCTGTTTTCAAAAAACTCAAGTTAGGTGAGCTCCTTTCAACCAACATTACCATTTAATTGGCCGACCGTTCTATTAAGTTCCCAAATGGTGGAATTCAGGATGTGTCCCTCAAAATAGGAGAGTTCATTATTCCCATTGATTTCATTGTGCCAGAGATTGCGAAAGATGACAACATTCCTATCATCCTAGGGAGGCCATTCTTAACAACTTCGGGTGCTTTAATAGATGTGAAAGGTGGCATGATTACCTTGTGTGTTGGTGATGTTAAGGCAAGTTTTAAGCTCAAGTAGATGCATGAGTCTCTATCTTATGTGCAAGGAATTTTGTGCATAAATTCATTGTCTTCGAATGCTAATGTTTGCATGTTTGTGTCTTTTACTGATGATATGTTGTAGCTTGTGATGATGTTCCTGAAAGTGTTTAGAGAAAGGTAGTTAGTGAAGAAGACAAGGATCCGTCAAAGAGGATGAGTTTGAAATGCCTTCTTGGTTTGAGCTTTCTTTGAAGGAAGATGAGAATTGTTTTTTAAGTGGTGATGTAGACACCCATTTGTGTTTCCCCAAAACCAAACCCAGTGATGAGTACCTTTCACGTCGAATCATAATAGAATGAAGTAAAAGTGTGGAAAGTCTAGTGTTGCGGTTAGTTTTTATTTCTTCTCTTTCTCTCTGTTTTTGAAAACCTATTTTAAGAAAACATCCAATCCAGTTTAGTTTGGTCCATAGCAAGGGTACAATAATGATGTAGTTGGATCGGGTTCGAAAAGAGATTTCTAACGATATATTATTAGCCTAATTCCGATGAATAATGTGGAAGTTATGGCCAAATTACTAAACTAGGCCCGGTTTTATCTTTATATGCGACCCAATGATCTAGAGGAGGGCCTATTATTGATTTATCATTCCTAATGCGATTAGGATTGATTATAGTATTCTAGAGTCTTCTAGAAGGTTCTTTTGATACCTAATTTAATTAGCATTGATAAATTGACTTTTGAGAGTTTTATTTAGAATAAAAGAAGTGTTTTAAGGAAATTACAGTTTTACCCTCTCGTACGCTTAAATTTTATCAAAATAAAAAACGCGTGGAAAACTGATTGCAGCGCCGTACGTCATGTCTGTCGCCTAGCGACTAGCGACAGGCGCGTGTTTGGCGACATCGTCGTGTTTTATTCTTTTCGAAACTCTGATTCGTTTTTTATCATATCCGGCTGATTTTCACTATAAATAACCTCCTAAAACCTTTGTTTTGAATCCTCAATTCTCAATTCTTCTCACCAACTCTCATCAAGGAATTCTTGATGCTCTCTCTCTCTCTCTTTTCTAAACTAGCTTTTCTAAAATAAAATTCCGCATTCACAAGATCTAGACACACCTAGCCAAGTTCGAAGTTGCCTTCGCCCTAGACGTGAAAGGTTTTATTTCTGAGGGTGTGGTCCCAAATCTCTCTTTCAATGATTTAATTTAGGGCTTGTTTGGTATCATTTTTGGTTTTTAGTTTCCTTTTTTTTGAAAACTAAAAACCAAAAACAGAAAACAAGAAAAAAGGTGTTTCCACTTTTTTGTTGTCAGTTTTGAAAATTATTATGATTTTAATAAGTTTAAATAATTTTTTATTCATTATGTGACATATATCATACATTTTTATACAACAAAAAACCAAAAAACAGAAAACCACAGCATTGCCAAACGAACCCTTACTGTTTGATTTATTATTTTCCTTGAAATTACTAATGTGTGTATTTTGTTATTAGAAAGAGGTACGAGGCATCCAAGTAAGTGCTTTAATTGTTTGCATTGTT